ATATTTCCTCTTCATCTTTGGTTAAATCTCTGACATTGATGTATCCACTTTACCTTTACTCCTCAAAATATATCCTTGGGCCAGCAGTTGACTTTCAGGCTCCCTCCCACAAAATATTGAAATCAGAATCTGCATTTTACCAAGATCCATAGGTGATGTGTATGTCCATTCCATTTTGAAAAATACTGCTGTAGATCACAATGTTAATGAAATGACATGCTGAAGGAGAAAAAATGGAAACTCTAAAAGAAGACAGAACATGAAACAAGAATACATATGCAATCAGCAAACTCTGTAATATAAAGAAAATTTCTATTGATTCTATAATGTGAATGCATCCGTTATTTTATAAAGATAGAAAGCAAAAATAGATATGAATTTTAAGTACTATTTCCTGCCTGTTGTGCTGAGAGGGGAGATTGAAAAAGAAATCAGCACAAAATATAGAGAAAGATAATATGATTGGCTTTTCTTTATGTTCTTTTTTTCTTTTCATCTTATTGCTTTTAAGAAATCTATAAGCTGTCACATAAGCTAATATTAAAAGCAACAAATTATACTTTTGTTTATTCTATTTGAATGATGCTCGTTAAAATTTTATGTTATACATAATTGCTATCAGATTTTATTTATCCAATTAATATTATATTAAATGATACTTTTGTAAAGGAATTGGCAAAAGGAAGCAGATGTTTGGGTTCTTAAAATACAGCTGTTATTAAAATTAAACAATTAGCAGAAACATTTTCTGAATAATTTTTCACATATTGTATAACACAAGTTTAAAAGTGGTTTGTTAAGAGATCTAAATTTTCTTACACTGTCACTGCTTACAGCTACAAACAAGAGCACATTGGACATGATATTATAGGAAAGAATATAAAATATAGATATGAGGCAACATTTGTATAATTCTATGACATTGAAAACTAAAAGAGCATCATAGACATATATATTTAACATAACAAAGGACTATAATTGTATCTGTATTATCCTGACGTATTTTGAGTAAAAAGAGATAATTCTATTTTTTACTCTAATATTTTTAACTGAGATTGAAACTAATTTTCAAATCTAAAATCTCAGAAGTGACTGGTTAGCACAAATGAGATATTTCATAAAACACGTATTTATGGAGAAACTTGAATTCTATATGATTGACTTATAATTGTACAATGGAATGAGATTTTGATGTTCTTCCCCTACTTTTCAAATGTTGGAAATTTTTCTAACTTTCAGACCTGCATAAATTACAGAAAAAAATTTAAATGTAAAATCTTGAGTATTTTTCCCTAATTTATGAAGACAGTCATAAATGTATTTTCAATAACAATACACAGAACATTTACCTAATTTTATTCTGAAGTAATGTTTATTTAATTTTAATTTTTTTAATCAAAATAAGGTAAAGTCAGACTTCTCTGGAAATAAGTAAAACTCAATGGACCATGCAAGTATCTACCCACCAAATACCTGAAAGTCAGTATTAATTTCAAACTCAAATCTTTGTATGGAGTAGGTGACTTATGTTACTTTGTTGTCATTAATCAGTCTTTAAATGTTTTAAAAATAAATTTAATACATGGTAAAATCAAATATGTTATGCACAACCTAACTCTATTTCTGAAAATACTATTTATTTAAGATGAAAGAGTAAGAAAATAGAACAGCTTTCTCTCAACTCTATAAAGATCTTACCATAATATCTTAACTTTAGCCTATCATTTTGATTTCTAATCCATTAAAATTACCCTCTTCTTATCAACTACTTTAGACTTAAGAAATCTTAAGTTGAATGAAAATATTATTAAACCTCTTTTCCATAGAGAACAAATAATGCCTGAACGCACCATTTAACGATGAATCTTAATCATGCGCAATAAGTTTAAATATCAATAAATGAATTCACATCTTGAGAAAAATATTCCTCAAGATTTATTTCATTCATGCTGAAATAAATTCTTCAGCCAAGTGAAGAGCATTTATCTCAATCTAAATTTCATTGCAAATACATATTTCTAAATATTCAAAATATTCAGATGACTGTCTTCTTCCCTTTTTTATTCAAGTAACATTTCTTTGATTTATTTATTTATTTATGTTTCAAACTTTTATTTAAATTCCAGTTAACATATAGTGTAATATTGGTCTCAGAAGTAGTGTTTCATCACTTACTTATAAGACTCAGTTTTTTTCACAAGTACCTTTCTTAACCTATCACCCCTTTAGTCCATTCCCCACCTACCTCCTTCTATCAATCCTCAATTTGTTCTCTATAGTTAAGAGTCTGTTTTATGGTTTGCCTCTGTTCTCTCTCTCTCTCTCTCTCTCTTGCACACACTCTCTCTCTTTCCTTGTGACTTTGTTTTGTTTTTTAAATTCCACAATTAAGTGAAATCATCTGGTATTTGTCTGTTGCCTGTATTCCTTCCTTCCTTCCTTCCTTCCTTCCTTCCTTCCTTCCTTCCTTCCTTCCTTCCTTCCTTCCTTCTTTCTTTCTTTCTTTCTTTCTTTCTTTCTTTCTTTCTTTCTGAGAGAGAGACACAGAGATGGGGCAGAAGGAGATAGAGAATCTTAAGCAGCTTCCATGCTCAGGATGAAGGCTGACGTGAGACTCAATCTCATGACCCTGGGATCATAACCTGAGTTGAAATCAAGAGTCGGACACAGAAACTTTTTATCTGAATGAAATCCCAATAGTTTACTTTTGCTTTTGTTTCCTTTGCCTCCAGAGACATGTCTAGAAAGAAGTTGCTGTGCATGAGGACAAAGAGCTTGCTGCCTTGGTTCTTCTATAACATTACAATGGTTGCAGATCTCACAAATAGAGTTTTCATTTACTTTTAACTTATTATTGTGTATGGTATAAGAAAGTGGTCCAGTTTCATTCTTTTGCTTGTTGCTGTCCAGTTTTCCCAACACCATTTGTTGAAAAGACTGTCTTTTTTCCACTGGATATTCTTTCCTACATTGTTGAAGATTAGTTGACCATATAGTTGTGGGTCTATTTCTGAGTTCTCTATTCTGTTCCATTGACCTATGTGCCTATTTTTTGGACAGAACTATACATTCTTTGTCACTGTAGCTTTGTAATATAACTTCAAGACTGGAATTGTGACCCTCCAGCTTTTCTTTTCTTTTCTAAGATTGCTTTGGCTATTTGGGTTTTTTTGTGGTTCCATGCAGATTTTAGAATTGTTTGTTCTAACTGTTGGTGCTTTGATTAGGGATTGCCTTAAACCTGTAGATTATTTTGGGAGTAAAGACATTTTAACAATACTTGTTCATTCAGTCCGTGAGTATGGAATGTTTTTCCATTTCTTTGTGTCATCTTCAATGTCTTTCATAAGTGTTCTATAGTTTTCAGAGTACAGATCTTTTACTTCTTTGGTTAACTTTATTCCTAGGTATCTTATGGTTTTGGGCACAATTGTAAATGGAATCAGTTCCTTGATTTTTCTCTGCTGCTTCATTGTTGGTGTATGGAAATACAACAGATTTCTGTATGTTGATTTTGTATCCTGCGTCTTCCCTGAATTCACGTTTCAGTTCTGTCAGTTTTTTGGTGGAGGCTTTTATGTTTTCTACATAAAGTATCATGTCATCTGCAAATAGTGAAAGTTTGACTTCCTCATTGGTTATTCGGGTGCCTTTGATTTCTTTTTGTTATCTGATTGCTGAGACTAGTATTTCCAGCACTGTGTTAAATAACAGTGGTGAGAGTGGACATCTCTGACTTGTTCCTGACCTTAGAGAAAAAGCTATGTTTTTCCCCATTGAGAGTGATATTAGCTGTTGGTTTTTTGTATATGGCCTTTATGATGTTGAGGTATGTTCCCTCTATCCCTATTTTGTTGAGGGTTTATATCAAGAATCGATGCTGTACTTTGTCAAATGCTTTTTCTGCATCTATTGAGAGGATCATATGGTTCTTATCCTTTCTTTTATTAATGTGGTATACTACATTGATTGGTTTGTGAATATTGAACCACATGCAGCTTAGAAATAAACCCCACTTGATTGTAGTAAAAGATTCTTTTAATGTACTATTGGACTTGGTTTGCTCGTACTGTGTTGAGAATTTTTGCATTCATGTCTTCTTTTATTATTTTTTAAAATTTTATTTAGATCGAAGGTAGTTAACATATAGTGTAATAATGGACTCGGGAATAGAACCCAGTGATTCATCACTTGCATATAGCGCCCAGTGCTTATCCTAACAAGTGCCCTCCTTCATGCCCATCACCCATGTAGTCCATTCCCTCACCCACTACTATGCCAGCAACCCTCAGTTTATTCTCTATATCTAAGAGTCTCTTATGGTTTGCCTCCCTCTCTGTTTTTATCTTAATTTTCCTTCTCTTTCCCTATGTTTGCCTGTTTTGTTTCTTAAATTCTACATATGAGTGAGATAAAATAAGAATGTGTATTATTAAGCAAAATAAGTCAGCAAAAGACAAATACCATATGATCTCTTATTTTCTTTAGCAAAGAAGATAACTTTCTCAATGTAGGTGTTCTTTGTGAACTATATTTTTCTCACATTGTTCATGTTGAAATTATAGCTCAGATGGATTGTACTTTCTTTTAGGCATAACACGATGTTGTGAATTTGCCTTTCCCATCTATACTTGTGCCTCAGATATTTAGGATTATCTTATGCAACACTTAAATATAAATAAAGGAGATGAACGTTATGAAACGGACTAATTTCCCAGATGGAGTATAAAAAGTATTTTGTGCTTTAGTTTCTTTAGAAACAAAACTCTGCATTCCACCCTTCAATTTTATTGATGTAGTCACCTTTTAAAATTTATTTCTGAAGTAGCTGTATCCTTGCTTAAGTGGAAATGGAATAAATGTTAAATTAACAAATAATTTGCTTTTTAAAAATGAAAATGATGGAGGGATGGTGCTTCCAATTGTGTCTCAAGTAAATGAAATCTGTTACATTTTGAAGGATGATGTCACAGAGTTTAAAATTTACATTTTATTTTCAGATGTAAAATACTTAAAAGAAGAGGATGCCAATCGCAAGACATTCACTGTCAGCAGCACACTGGATTTTCGAGTGGACCGGAGCGACGACGGCGTGGCTGTAATCTGCAGAGTAGACCACGAATCCCTCAATGCCACCCCTCAGGTGGCCATGCAGGTGCTAGAAATACACTGTAAGTAAACACTGCTCCCTTCCCAATGATCTCAGCAGAAGCAACTCCCTTCATCTACATTTAAAATCATTTCCAAATGTCCTGAAGTTACCGCATAGATGCAGCAAAATCTACAGCAAAACGAAGTAGACTACCGTTAGTGGTATTCATAGTATTCAGAGGAAAGTAGTTCTTACCAGAGTATCGTTCTTAACAAGGGAGTGAAATAGGTTAAAACTTCTAGTTCTCTTCCACACGATGACTTGATGTAAGTGTATTCATCTGGGTGGGGTAGGAAGAGTAGTCATTTTGGCAGAATCAAATTCCCAGAGGGTTGGGAATCTGAGAGGACCTTGATGGAACTTACTGTATGAAAGTAACTTGGTTAATCACAAATGTGTTGTGCTATTTGTGCTTTTAACATGAGATAATTTTTATCTTCTATATGAGACAATCTAAATTTTTGTAAATACAGGGGCATATCCATTATGGTTTCTCCATCAACATCATCATTACTTACAAGTGATAGGAACATTAATTGGATATCTCCAATGGGCAAGGAGCAGTGCTAACTGCTTTGCCGGCATTGTTTCATCTCATGTCTCATGTTAGGGCATCAGCATAAAAACCTGATATGATTAGTTACTGTCTGTAGTCACAATTGATGGATGAGGACACTGAAGATGATAGTGGCTGAGTCACTCGGCCAAGTTCATGCAGCAGGCAAATGGTAGACTTGTAATCATGACATTTTTAGTAGTTAGCATGGCATTTGGAATATAACAGATGATCTATAGATATTTATCCCATGAAATTGAATCAACTGAGATATATAAGAAAAAGCTGAAATAACTAGAGCCCAGAGGACTATAATTCTGAATTGTCTTACTTCATTTTTTTAAATACTGAAAAGTTTTTGTTTGCTTTTACTATATGTGTTAAAGTTATAGTTTGAGTTTAGAATTTATGTGTGATATAAAATTACATTAAAACCTAAAATGTTAAATCTAAGTACTAGTCTTTAATAGACCCCATTGGATTTTGGTTTTATTTATTTACTCAACAAAAACTTGTTGGGTCCCTACTATGAAATAGGCATTGTTTTGGGCACTGGGGTTACATAAAGGACCAAAAAAGAATAACATTAACAAAACAAGTTAAGATTGTCTTCATGTGTTGGAATTATCACCACCAGCAGCAGACTCCAGTTACCTTATAGCATCCATTTTAGGTGAGAATGACAGAAAATCAAAGTAAGTAGAAACAACATATAGCATGCTATGTACTAAGTGCTATGGGAAAAAAATAGAGCAGAAGTGATAAGGAATGTGTGTATACACACATATACACACATGCATATATAAAATGTTTATATGTAAATATATATTGTAGATATATATTATATGTAAATATATATGCTGTTTATATTATACATATATTTAAATGGAAAATATATATATAATACAGACGGAAGAGCAACTACAAAGGCCCTAAAGTAGGAGCATGTATGATTGTTTTTGTGTTTCTTAGAACAGCAAGAATACCAGTAAGACCAGGATAGAGTGAAAAACTGGAGAGTATTTATGAGAGATCAGAGAAGTACCAGGGGGACCAGGGTTTTTTTGTTTGTTTGTTTTTGTTTTCACTTTTTATTTTTATTTTTTATTTTTTTTAAATATTTTTATTTATTTCTAGGAGAGAGAGAGACAGCGTGAGCAGGGGAGGGTCAGAGAGAGAGGGAGACACAGACTCTGAAATAGGCTCCAGTCTCCAGGCTCAGAGCTGGCAGTCAGCACAGAGCCCGACGCGGGGCTCGAACCCATGAACCGCAAGATCATGACCTAAGTGAAAGTCGGAAGCTTAACCGACTAAGCCACCCAGGCGCCCCCTTTTTTTTTTTCACTTTTTAATAAAAAATGTCAATCTGATTATGATGTTTGATTATTGCCCACTGTTTTAATTATTCTTAGTTTATTAGTAATGGAAATTATCATAACATTTTACACACTTTTAATTACATTAAGTTAGTTTCATTAATTTTCCTCCTGTTATTAAAACAGATTCTGCAGCAAGCATATTTTAAAGCCCAAATTGAGATTATTTTCAAATTTCGGCATGTATTTTCAGTGACACAGAAAATTTACTGAAACTGCTTGAGCTTTGATTATAAATTAGATAGTTTAGGTTCTTCAAGGATCAAACTAGGCAATTTTTTTATGGTATTTAAAGAACTTTCTATAAACATAAGTTCCCTTAGTTAGTTTAGGTTGCTGTAACAAGTATACCCATAGACTGGGTGGCTTGTAAGCAAAAGTTTATTTCTCACAGTTTTGTAGTCTGGAAGTCGAAGATCAAGGAACAGGTAAGGGGCCTTATCCTGGTTCACAGTATCTGCACATGGCAGAAGGAGCTCAGGAGCTCTCTGGATTATTGTTGTTGTTGTTGTTTGTAAGGACACTAAGTCCAGTCATAACCTTCCAAAAGCCCTCTGCCTCCTAATACATCACACTGGAGATTAGGTTTCAACATACGAATTTTGGACGGACATAAACATTCAACCTATAGCACCTTCCATTTTCTAGTCTTATTTCATCAATATGTCTTTAAACATGTGTAAAAATATATAATTTGGTATGTTGAGATGACTCAGGTTATCAGTACCTTGACTTAAACTTTTTCTTTCACTTATATATAGAGGAAAGTAAGAATTTAAAAATAATATTTGATTACTAATTTAAGTATAATTTTTAACATAAAATAAAATAATAAAAATTAACTCATAAAACTATGAGTTTTGGGTCACCAGCCCCAAGATTAATCAACGAGACCCACCAATAGTGAGGCAAATCAAATATTCTTAGTTTGCTATGGCGAAGAAGAAGTTCATACCAGAGGAATCTCTGGTGCTGGTAAAACAGTTTGAAGAGGTTTTGTCCTGAATATTCTAAAGAGGATTCTAGATTGAATGCTGCCAAGATTGGGGACAAATTGCAGATGTATATGTTGATAGTTTTTACCTGGAAAGCAAACATTAAAGCAGAACTAGATTTGCTGTTACAAAGATGAGCAGTTCATCGTGCTAATTTTTTTTTGGTTGGTGAGTGTCCTGGTCCCTGTCTTATTTCAGACTTGAACATGGAATAGACTTGCCTTTGTCTTCTTACACCCTACAGTCACAAAGCAGTTTCACCTGATTATTGTTTAGATTCTAGAGAATTGTTTATGTTTGTTAAGAATATTTCAGCCTAGCTGTCAGATGCCAATTGTTACTACCAAAGTCATTTTTGCTTTTTTTGGAATCTAAAATGGAGCCATTATATGTATACTTTCTGGGCATTTTTTGCAGTTCACTGTATTTCATTGTGCATTATTAAGTGAACTTCATGGAGGAAGGCAATTGAATTCCCCCATTTTTTAGAAAGTTTTACATGAAAAATGTTATACTTGCTGTCCAATTAAAATAGCAACTCATTTTTATCATGGCTTAATATGTAAGAGGCTGAAGACAGAGACCATATCTATTTAAATTATATACTTCAGAATCTAACATACCACCATTCAAGTATGTGAAGGTAATTAAAGCTAACTGATGATAATGCTGAATGCTCCTTTAGGGATGCAGAACATTGCCCAGAGATAAAACAAGAAGTGAAGAGGGGGCATTTAGTAATAGTTTGCATTAAAATTAGAGCAAATTGAACAACTTGTGTGTGGTCTTAATGGCTCTGCATAGGTACAATGTGCAATATCCATGATGTGATAATTTTCGTGGATGTAAGTAGAGGAAACTAGAAAGAACTGAAAAAGGAAGAAGGTGGTTAGTCTAGAATTTGTGGAACATAAACTTAGATTCCCACATTGTTTGACAATGGTCCTATCATGAAAAACCACAAAGATTGGCTCAAATAGAGCCCCAGAGTAAAAGACTTGCTGCTGTTTTCCGAGGTGAGTGACCAGAGTAAAAAAATACCCAATAATAAAGGAAAGTTGAGACTGTGCATGAAATGAAAAGGGATGTTTGATAAGAAATTAGAAAGAAGAAGGGTGCCTGGGTGGCTCCGAATTCAGCTCAGGTCATGATCTCATGGTTCATGAGTTTGAGTCCTACATCTGTCTCTGTGCTGACAGCTGAGAGCCTGGAGCCTGCTTTAGACTCTGTCTCCCTCTCCTTCTGTCCCTCCCCTGCTCATGCTCTGTCTCTATCTCTTTCTCAAAAATAAATAAACATTAAAAAATGATTTTAAAAGAATTAGAAAGGAGAATTATGTAGTATGAAGAGCAAAAAATTATATAATAGGAGGAACTATATTTCTGAGGCTATGTTTTAACTCCATAACCCTGTGATTCACAATTTAGAAGGACTCAGCCTTTAAAGTATGTCCCAGCAACATTCATTTCTTTATAAAATATTAATCCTAAATTTTAATTCCACTATGAAGGAAGATAGTTTCTTTAAACATAAAATTTAAGAAACCCCAGACTTTCACTGTGAACCACAAATGCCTGCAAATTTCACACAGCGGATAACAGCATACTTTGTACCTGAGCCATGGAAAAGCCACAGTTCTTTTATAGATGGAAATTCTATTTCATCTTTCTATTTTTATGCAGATCTCTTTGAAAATAATAACTTTTTATTTGATTTAATTTTTAGAAGAGCAGATTGTATAAGTCAGATTTTATTTAATTCTCAGTAAGAATAATGTATCTTCATGAACAGAAAGAAATATGCACAAAACACAGAAAAGAAGAAAATAACTGAACACTCATTTTCTATACATGACACTGACAAAATTTCATAAAAAGATAGCTATTATTGAAAAGGAAAAACATAAGAGGCAGATTAGTTAAGTATTTCAGAATAGTGAATGCTCTGAGAAAATATTTTAGTACTATGGCATTGAACTGCCAATATGGATAAATAAGAATCCAAATTTTAAGTCTCTTGTGTGTTTGTGTTTTAAGTGAATTACACATATATACATACATATATATAATATATTATAAATAATTCATCAAGT